TTCCATTTTTATTAAGTGTGACCCACCCACTTCTTTTTGGTTCCCAGTTCACTTTTTCCGTAGTTTAACCATGAGTAAGGTAGGACCTAACTTTGTACTCGCTTGTATAGTCACTTTGGTTTCTACAAAAAGAAAAAAAAAAAAAGCTGCCTATGGTTGCATGCCTGTCTTAAATCTCTGGGGAAGAGTTGGTTTTGAAATTATTTTTAAAACCTTGTTACCATGACGTATCATCGGGACTTTAAATATATATATATATATAACCTGTATGTTAATTGATTTCAGAGAGGAAGAGAGAGATAGAAACACCAATGATAAAAATCATTGATTGGCTGCCTCCTGCACACCCCACATTGGGGATGCAGCCAAAACCCGGGCATGTCCCCTGACCAGGAATCCAACCGTGACCTCCTGGTTCATAGGTCAGCGTTCAAACACTGAGCCACACAGGCAGGGTTCATTGGGACTTTCTTTAAAAAACACACACATACAGAAAGGAAGGGAGAGGGTGAGAGAGATAGAAGCATCAATGATGAGAGAGAACTATTGATCAGCTGCCTCCTGCACACCCCCTACTGGGGATTGAGCCCACTACCTGGGCATGTGCTTTTGACCAGAATTGAATCTGGGACCCTTCAGTCCGAAGGCTGATGCTCTATCCACTGAGCCAAACCAGCTAGGGCCCATTGAGACTTTTAAAAAAACTTTTTGTAGACATTCTATGTGTGTCACTGATCCAGCTTTCCATATATTGTTCCCATGTAATGATATGAACTTGGGCAATTTCTTATATTTCTCATTTTAGCGAAAAAGTAGTTTATAATAGCCGCCGTCTCCTGAGCCCTTACTATGTGCCAGACGCTGTTGTAAAGCCCTTCACAACAATCTTAGGAAGTCTGTTCTGTCCTCAGCCCCATTTTACAGCTGGGAAAACAGCTTGGAGTAGAGAGAGGCCTAATTTACTCGTCTAATATAACAGCTTGCAAGTGGCTGAGCCAGTCAAGGTTTGAGCACTTGTGGTCTGGTCTAGAACCCACCTTCTTGAACACTGTGCTACCACTCATTGTTTTTCAAACTTGAGCGTGCATCAGAATTCCCTAGAGGGCTTGTCAAAACACAGATCGCTGGGGCCCACCCCCAACATTTCTGATTCAGTGGGTCAAGCATTTGCATTTCTAAAAAGTTTCCAGGTGATGCCTCCATGGCTGGTCTGGAGCCTTTTTGTTTATCCATTCTTCCGCCGGTGGACATGTGGGTTATTTCCACCTTTTGGCTATTGTGAATTAACGGAGCACACTTTTAAGAACCTCTACAATAACCCGTAATGGTTTTCATAATTTCTCAACGGAGAAAGAAGGGTCATGATTACCTGCCAACAGATTGTGCAGTTAATTGTAGGAGGAATCTAAGAGTCACTAACACTTTTTAATAATAAGCAGCAGTGTGGACATGTGGGTTATTTCCACCTTTTGGTTATTGTGAATTAACGGAGCACACTTTTAAGAACCTCTACAATAACCCGTAATGGTTTTCATAATTTCTCAACGGAGAAAGAAGGGTCATGATTACCTGCCAACAGATTGTGCAGTTAATTGTAGGAGGAATCTAAGAGTCACTAACACTTTTTAATAATAAGCAGCATCCATTGGTTCTTATGATGTGCTGGACACTGGACTAGGCACTTTCTATGCCTTATCTCATCCAATCCTTACAACAGTCTTGGGACTACTCTCCCCCCCCCCCCCCCCCCCCCCAAGTTTCACCCCCGCCCAGTTTACAGTGAAGAAATGGGGATTTGGAGAGATTAGGGAATTTGATCCAACTTATGTACCAGCAAGTAGGAATTTGTGAGGTCCAAGTCAAGATTACCTGAATTCCTCCTGAATTCCTGGCAGGGTTGCTCAGTTGGTTAGAGCATCATTCCAATACACCAAGGCTGTGGGTTAGATCCCCGGTCAGGGCACCTACAAGAATCAATAAATGAATGTATAAATAAGTGGAACAATAAATCGATGTTTCTCTTTTTCTCTCTCCCATCCTCTTTTTAAGATTAAAAAAAAGAAGAAGACTACTTGAACTCAATAGCCCTGTTGACTAAGACACTACAGACTTTGCACAGTAATTGTTTAGTAAATATATGAACAAAAGATGCTTGTTTATATCAAAAGCAGAGCTACTCGCCCTAACCAGTTTGGCTCAGTGGATAGAGCGTTGGCCTGCGGACTCAAGGGTCCCAGGTTCGATTCCGGTTGCGGGCACATACCCAGTAGGGAGTGTGCAGGAGGCAGCTGATTGATGTTTCTCTCTCATTGATGTTTCTAACTCTCTATCTCTCTCCCTTCCTCTCTGTAAAAAATCAATAAAATATATATATTTTTTAAAAAGCATAGCTACTCATTGGAAGACCTCTTGACATTTTAAAGGCATGAGTCACTAGGTTTCACTGTGTAGCAAAGTGTCTAAAGCACAAAGAAAAGAAGATACAGTGCCTTAGAGGGTGAATTTCTAGGGAAATTTCAAGCAGACTTTTGACAACCACAATGGTGTGGGAGAGATTGCTGCCAGCAGTGGTGGCTGGGGATACCGGAGATAAAAAAAAAAAAAAAGAAACTCAACAACATTAAATTCTTTCTGACAATGTTGCTCTAGGAAGGCTACGTCCACTTAACAGCATTGGAACATAATTCACAAATCATAAAATTAACCCACTTAAAGTGCGCAATTCAGTGGTTTTTAGTGTATTCACAGGATTGTGCAACCATCACCACATCTAACTTTAGAACATTTTCATCACCCCAAAAAGAAACCTTGTCCACATTCGCAGACACTTGCCGTCCATTCTCCCCCAGCTCTAGACAACGACTGATCTACTTTCTGGCTCTACAGAATAGATTTGCTGTTCTGCACATTTCATGTCAGTGGAATCGTACAATTCGTGGTCTTTTGTGACTGGCTCTTTTCACTTAGCAAAGTGTTGCCAGAGATCATCCACATTGTAGTGAGTGTCTGCTTCATTTCTTCCCTCCCCACCCCAGCCCCAGCACTTTATCAAGGTGTGCGTTACCTAAAGGAAATGCACAAGTATTGTGTACAGCTCCACAATGTTTTTTTAAAAATATATTTTTATTGATTTCAGAGAAGAAGGGAGAGGGAGAGAGAGAGAAACATCAATGATAAGAGAGAATGAGAATCATTGATCAGTTGCCTCCTGCATGCCCCCTACTGGCATTTGAGTCTGCAGCCTGGGTATGTCTGGGTATGGAATGATGACCTCCTGGTTCATAGGTTAATGCTCAACCACTGAACCACACCAGCTGAGCAGTTATTGACCAAAATTTTAAGAGAGCTCTCTGGAGTGCTGAAAATATGCTATATCTTGATCTGAGTGGAGGTCAAACAAGTATATACACAGGTAAAACGTTGTGGAGCTGAGCCTGGCTGATGTGGCTCAGTGGTTGAGTGTTGACCTGTGAACCAGGAAGTAAGTCACAGTTGGATTCCCGGGAGGTGGGCTCAATCCCTTTTCGGGGCATGCAGGAGGCAGCCGATCAATGATTCTCTCTCATCATTGATGTTTCTCTCCCTCTCTCTTCCTCTCTGAACTCAATAAAAATAAGTATTTTTTAAAAATTTTGGCCAAGAGCACATGAGATAAAATTTATCATTTTTTTCAAATTGATTTTGAGAGCGAGTTGCATCCTACAGGCGCCACGTTGGGGATTGAACCCACAACTAGGGTATGTGCCTTGACATCCACTTGTTGTTCCACGTATTTTGTGAATTCATTGCTTGATTCCTGTATGTGCCCTGAGCAGGGATCACCCCTGCAACCTTGGCCTATCGGAGGATACTCTAACCAACTGAGCTATCTGGCCAAGGCTAGTCTGATTTTTTTTTAACTAGTCTTGCATCCCTGAATAAACTCCTCTTGGTAATCTATAATAATAAAAGCATAATATGCTAATTAGACTGGACATCCTTCCGAACGACCCTCCCAACGAACCCAGGGCTTCAAGGAAAGCCCGGGTCCTGGGTGCCAGAGGGAAGCTAGTGCCAGCTGCCAGGGGAAGGAAGGCCTACTCTTTTTTCTTTTAATACATATTTTATTGATTTTTTACAGAGAGGAAGGGAGAGGGATAGAGAGTTAGAAACATGAATGAGAGAGAACCATCGATTAGCTGCCTCCTGCACACCCCCCACTGGGGATGTGCCCGCAACAAGGTACATGCCCTTGCCGGAATCGAACCTGGGACCTTTCAGTCCGCAGGCCGACGCTCTATCCACTGAGCCAAACCGGTTACGGCAGGAAGGCCTACTCTTGCACGAATTTCGTGCATCGGGTCTCTAGCAATATATAACACTTTTTATGTTGTGTCAAATTCTGTTTGCTATATCTTGCTAAGGATTTTGCCTTGATTTTCACTTTGCCCATTATTGGTTTTTTTCGTTGTTGATGATGCATTGTAGGCATTCTACATATATTCTGGATATTAACCCCTTATCAGATATGATTTGCAACAATTTCCCCTTCTGTAGATAGTCTTTTCAGTCTGTTCATTGTGTTCTTGGATGCACAAGTTCTAAATGTTGGTGTAACCCAATGTATCGTCATTTTGTTGCCTGTGCTTTTGGAGAAATTGCCAAGTCTAATGACA